ACCACCAAAACCAGTCCAAAACCGCCTCTGGATGGTTTCTGGAGCCTATGCGTCATTTTCTAATTATCACTGGCGCTTAGGCACCACCCTGCAGGCAACTCTACCGTTTCAACCCGTTTTGCTTCGTTTTAACTCCGTTTCGCCCAGTTTCAGCTCTGTTTCACTCTAAATTGTTATATTTACAAAATAAATATAAAAATAATATTTCTTTAAAGTGTAATTTTATTTAAAAAATGTGATAAATGTAAAGAAGATTAAGCATAGAAAGAAAAAAAAATCTGCGAGACAAAATTTTCTTTCTTACTTGTTTTGACTCCAAATTGCACAATTTTTACTCCATTTTCTCAAAAAATCTATTTCTTGTATCTGGAACAAAAAAAATGCAAAAATATTTTCCTTTAAAGTGCAATATCATAAAAAATGTGCATAAGATGAATATTCAATGTATATTAAAAATAAGTAATTTTTCAGGTGGATTAACTACCTCTAATTGCTACTATATTGCAAGGGTTTGGTTACTAAGGCAATTTTTTTGAGCAAAATGATGAGTGAGGGAGGAAGGATGAAGGAGAAACGAAGAAAGATATCTCTACAAGGATCAGTGTCAGTGAAGGGAAGGTTGTTGTGCTTTTGTTCTTGGAGAGCATTTAAATCAAGTATCAAGGCGTTGCGGGGAGGCGACAAGTAGCCGGGAGAGAAAGGAGACCGCGAGGTTTGAGAAAAGGGGTTCATGCACAATACACACACACGTACTCACACACCCATGCATGTCTTGCACATTATGAACACATGCACGGACGCACACACACAGGGACGTATTGCACGCGCACACACACACACAAAAGAATTTTGACCAATAAATTTTGGTATTTGAAAATGAAAAAAAAATATTGGATGTATTGCACTCAATCACAAAGGTACACAAAGACATATTACACTCATGTAATAGGCAGGCACACATGCACACATGCTCAAATGGACGCATGGATGTATGGACGCACTCACACACACACACGCGCGAACGAATGCAAACACGTATGGATGCACAAACTGGAGCACATGAGGATGCTCATACACATAGATGTACGCACGGACTCAAGCAAAGAATTTATATCACCTTCCTACTGTTCATAATCAACGAAGTAATGAAACCTCTTCTCCATGAATTCCCCCTCTCACCTCTTTCGAATCACATGAGTCTTTCTTTTCTTCTACTGAGCCGCAACAGTGCAAATCACGTGATCTTCTCCCGCACCCCTTTTCCTAACCTCGCAGTCTTTTTTCTTTCTCACCTACTTGCCACCTCCTAGCAATGCCTTGATGCTTGATTTAAACGCACTCCAAGATTGTAACACCACCACCTCCCCTTTGCTGACGTTGATCCAAATGCACGCATGGAAAAACACACACACACACGGATGCACACATTCAAGCACAGACAAATGTACGTACACACAGATGCACGAACCCACACACGGATGCATGAACTCACACACAGACGCACGAACACATAGATGCTCGCATGCACATGTGTTGGTGTAGTACGCCAGTGTGTGTGCTCACACACACACATGCACACATGCAAGCACAAATGCACGAACACACAGATGCACGCACACACACACACAAAGAATTTTGGCAAATAAATTTTGCTATTTGAGAAATAAAAAAAATGTTAAATTAGTTTTAATCATTCAACTAAAAAATGTGAATGTTATTAGATTTAAAAGAGAATAATTATTAATTTGACAAAGTACAACTCCATTTATTTATACTCTATTTTAAAATATTGTAATTATATTATTTAATCTTTTTAATTCAAAAATATTTTAATGGAGCAAAATAAATTATCATCACTATCTCAACATCATTCTTACATATACACTATAAATGTTTTTGGTTGAGAGCATTAATATCTTAGACTAATACAAAATTGTTTAATTGGTTATTGTAGCTTTGATATTATTAAACAACAACAACAACCTTTTTATTCGACTAACTAGGGTTAGCCGAATAAATGCTTTTTCTAGATTGTGTCATATTGTCACATTTTTATTTAATTTTAATAAGTTAAGATTATTTTTTATACAAAACGTCCAGGTCTTTTTTGGTCTATCTTTTCCTGTCGTAAGTTAAAATTGAACATAAAATCTCTAAAAAATGTCATCAAATGGTCCATGTTTAATGGGACCAAAACATCTAAGAAAACTCTCTCAACTTTTATTTATCATTGGAGCTACTATAATCATTTAACAGATATATTTGTTTCACATTTTGTCTCTAATTGTAAATCAATTCATTCATTTGAGCATTCTCATCTCAACAACACTTAATTTTATGTTTTTCCTTTACAAGCCAACATTTTGCACCGCACCCTAAAGCATTGAAGGTCTCATCAAAATCTTATAAATGTTTCGTTCAAGTCTAAGCAATACTTTTCTATAAGACAATAAAACCAATTTATTACTCAATTTCAACCATCCAACTTGAATTCTTCAAGCAACAATTTAATTAATATCATTCTCACTTTGAATTATAGAGCCAAGGTATTTGAAATGTTCACTCCTTTAAATGCTATGATCATCAATTGCTGAAATCTTGCTATTGGATCTACTAGTACTAAGATTATATTCCATATATTCAATTTTAGAAAGTCTTTAGATTCTAAAATTGACCTCCATAAATCGAGTTTTTCCTGAACTATCTCTGTAGTCTTATCCACAATGTGAAAAAGCATACACCAAGCTACATCCTCCTATAAATGTCTAGTAACAATATCTACAATTAAAGCAAAAAGATATGAGCTTAAACGCATTTCTTGTTGTAATCCAACTAAAATAGAAAAAAAAGACTTGGTCCATCAGCAACAAAAATAATAGCTCTAATATACATATCTTTAATGACTTGAATATAAGTAATAAATCATTCTTTTCTAGAGCTCTCCAAAATATTCTTTTGAACAATATCATAAGTTTTTTTGTAAATCAACAACAACTATTTGTACATCATTCTTATTCTCTATATTTCTTCATCAAATCACTCAATAAATATATATCTTCAAAATTTTAAAAAAATAAAGAATAAGGAAATAAATTTATAGCATAAAACTATGTTTAGTTGATTTTGGTAACTAAATTACAATGCACCGTTTGTTGTCGTGTGACAGAAAAATTAAATTTAAGGGGTTGAATGAGATCATTATTTATTTATATTCAAATATAAAATAAGATATAAAGACATTCATATACATAAGAAACCTAAGGATTTCTTGTAGAGTCTCCATTATATGGGCAATCATATCGGCTAACCAATATCCAAAAGAGTCGGACATACTACATTTTTCATAAGTACAAGATATAAAAAGTACGCATTTATATTTTCCACAAGTAAAATATATAAAAAATATGCTACTTTGCACATACTTGTTATATGCCATAAATTTACATGCAAATTCATAAATGTAAAAAGGACAAAACAATAAAACCATTAAAATTGTTTGATTTAATATGTAAAAAAATCCACAACAATAAAAATATGGATGCTAATTATTTTATTATGGGCAACAAATTAAACTTATCATAAGTGTAAAAATAACATGACAGACAATCCTATAAAATAGTTAGAATCTACTGCATATAACAAAGAATAACGTCTCTAACTATGAATGATATTTTTACCCATAATAAAAAGCAATTATTTATCTCGACACGACAAATATGATACTTCTACTTATTCAATGATTTAACTAGAGATCTTACAACTTAAAAATTAAAATTTAAATATTTATACAATTAAACTTATTTAGTTATTGAATTAGGTGTAGTGGAATTAAAATATATACTAATAATGAGATGTATCTACATAATATTGCATCAATAAGAAGTAAGAATTTCACATTATCTAAAAATTGAAGTTTTACGTGCTTGATATGTATATGCGTAAGACTTGCGCGATAAGTATGTAAAAATCCTCAAGGGCTGTATGACAACATATGAGATTTAAGATCATAGGATTTAGTAAATCCGAAAAGGGCTAAATCCCAAAAATTGTTTGGCAGCAGATTTGGTAAATCTTATGAAACTATTTGACAATTTCTGTGAGCATTTAAAAACCTATTATGGTCATAGACTTGAAACAACAAATCATATTAAGATTTCAGGAATTATGTAAATTTCAATTTTTAAAACATTAAAAAATAATCAAAGTCTCTTGGCTTCTTAAATTCAATTTAATATTTTTATTTCAAATTATAATAATTCATAATTATATATTTTCTAATTTATCAAATTTGAGGTTTTATTTTGTCCAAAATGAACATCTGACAAGATTTAGTTAAGTCCAACTTAAATCTTGCTCTCCATTACCATATAGACCCTGAGGGGCAGTACGACAATCTATGAGTTTTAAGTTAGTAGGATTTAGTAAATTCGGAAAAATCTAGATTTAATAAATTCTAAAAGGCATAAATCTCAAAAATTGTTTGACACTCGATTTAATAAATTATGTTAACTTCTCTGAAGCTATTTGATTTAAAAATCTATTAAAGTTAGACTTTAATAACTGATCATAATAGAATTTAATAAATCATGTAAATTTAATTTCTCAAAATCGGTAAATTAACTTCTTAAATTTAATTAATATTTAATTTCAAAATATGTTAATTAATAATTTGATATTCACTTAATAATTTTTTTCCTAATTATTAAATAGAAATTTAATATTTATAAAAGAATAAATATTTAGTTATTAATTTTATTTATTAAATAATTACTTATAAATTTATTGGATGAATAAAGAAATTATATTTATTTTTCTAATTAATAATTAAATAATAAATAACTTTACTTAAGTATAATTATTATGAAATATTTTAATTAATTATTAATTATTAATCAATTAAATTAATAAAATGAACTTAAATAAAATTAAACTAAGAAAATTTAGCTTAAATAAAATGAACATGCAGAGATGCATGCGGTTAAAGGAGGCTAACCGAAATACATACTACCTACCGATCAAGGGGAGTGTCGTATGCAATAATTTTTCCCCGCTTACATTTGCTCCTCTCCCCGAAACCCTCGCGTGCGCCTGCCACCTCAGGTTTCGTCCAAAACTATCGCCTGCGCACCGAACCCTCGCGATGCAGTCTCGGAGCTAGCTGATAACGCATCGTCGGGATTGCGGCTGACAGAGATCCGAAACTCCCTTTTTTCTTTGTCCTCCTGCTCCTCTCCTACCCGAAACCACTGAGGAAGGTGACTTCACATCGTTTTTCTTCGCGCGAAGGGTCCGGCTCGGATTTACGAAATCCACCGATTCAAGGGATTTAGTAAATCCAGGATTTAAGGCCGAAATCCGTGAAATCAAATCCGAGGCTTTATTTTGTCCAAAATGATCGTCCGGCAAAATTTAGGTTAAAACCAGCTTAAATACCGCTCAAAATCCGTTACCAGACAGGCCCTAAAAGCATAGGAAGTGATCCCTTCGTTGCCTTCCCGGCTACATCGCGATTGTTCTTAGCGAAATCGTAAGCGAGGGAGGAGGGACGAAGGGAAACGGAGAGAGATAGCTCTACAAGGATCGGTGTCAGCGAAGGGGAGGTTGTGGTGCTCCGATCCTGGAGTTCGTTAAAATCAAGCATCGAGGCGAAAAGGCGGGAGAGAAAGGAGACCGCGAGGTTCGGGAAAGGGGTGCGGGAGAAGATCGCGTGATTTGCACGAGTGCAGCTCAGTAGGAGAAAAGAAAGACTCCTACGATTCAGAAGAGGCGAGGAGGAATTCATGGAGAAGAGCTTCGATTATACCGTTGATTATGAACGGGAGGAAGGTGAAATACTTGAAGAAGAAGAAGATGGAGGTGGAAGGGAGGGGCCTGGATGGGCTATGGAGGTTGATTCAGAAGTTGAACCCGGGGAAATTAAGATGAACACTGTGGCTCCGGCTAGGAAAAAGGTGTGCTACTTGCTAAGCATTCTATTTTCTTTTTTTTATGATATTATGAATTTGAAGCCTGATTCGGATGGTGAACATTCTGCAGTGAAAACGTTTATTTAAAGTAGTTATGTTCATGCTCATGCTTTGTGTTTCTTAAATTAAGGTTTATAGATGAATTTCCTGATTTGAGGGCCTTGAATTATTAAATTTTATTCTTGGTTTTTGTTTCTTGTACTTGCAGGAGCTCTCACGCAGGGAAGATTTGCTACAAGGTTATTGGAGTTCGCTATTAGGATGATCTTTAACATTGAATTTGTTAAATGAATCTTCTGCTTGTGATGGCTTTGTCCTAGCAGGAAACATGCACTGATTGTGTTTTGGTACTTTTGCAGAACACCATCTGGACAACTTGAACGCTGAAAAGAACATGGAGATTCTGAATCGTTGTGCAAAAGAAAACGATAGAGGCAGTTGCTATTTATTTGATAAAACTTTGGATGCAGCAAACAACATGGGCGAGTATGGAGATTTAGCTCGAGATGACGAAAGGAAAAAGTCAAAATCATTAATCACATCACCTGACAAAGAGAATCACGGGATTATTGATCTAAATGACTTTAGTCATCAAGAAGAATATTCTGACTGTACTTCTAAGATACTTAAATCAAAAAAAAGATTGAAGCAAGAAGAGGATGAAAGAAGAGGATCAGTCGGCAATCATAGATCCATTTCTCGTAAAAGTTCAAAGGTTAGATGCATTGAAGCAGCTCAATCATCATCTTGTGATGTTGTTAACAATGATCAATCAGTATCTGATGATCATAAAAGTGGAGGATTGCACGAGCAACCTCGAAAAACCGATGCAGATGAGAGTATTGAAATGAGCCGGTCTGAAAGATGGATTAAAGAAAGGAGTTATTCTGATCATGAAAGGAGTAGCATGCGTAGTTTGAATAAATATACAAGTAGAAGCCAGGTACTTGATAAAGAGACCTGTGATGAAAGAGAAAGTAATGTCCATAGAAAAAATGATGTGCATGATTACAGACACAACAGTCAGGACAGAGGAAGGGAAGGAATTGACAGGTGGAATGGCAGTCAGGACAGACGAAATGATGTGAATAGGCACAGCAGTGAATACAGAGATAATAATAGGAAAAGAAGCCGTAGTTCGAGTAGATATGATGAACGAGAGAATAAACATGATTGTCGGTATAAGGAGAGGGATCGAGATAGAGAGAGTAAAACTTCTGGTACAAGAGATAGAGAAAGGGAGAGGGAGAGGAAGAGGGAGAGGGAGAGGGACCGATTCAAGGAGAGTGAGAGGATTAGAAACATCAAAGGTGAAAGTGAAAGGGACAAGTATAGCTCTGATAGGGAGACGATCCAAAAAAGGGACAAGAATACCAATTCCTTTGGTGATAGAGAGAGAGTTGATGAAAGGGATAGGCACAGGAGGAGTGGTCATGATAGACAGAGGGATTCTAGGCAATCCAAACACGATGATACCAAATACCAGAAGGAAAGCACAAGAGATAAAACCGATACTATTAATAAGCAAGATTTCAAAGAAGAAAAGCGGAATACTTTGTGGTAAACCCTCAATTTTTTTATAGAATACGTGATTCCTTCAGTTTGCTTAATATTAACTTTAATATGATATCCATAAAAGTGATTATTCTTTGGGGTAAACCCTCAATTTTTTTTTAGAATACGTGATTCCTTCAGTTTGCTTAATATTAACTTTAATATGTTATCCATACAAGTGATTATTCTATCAACACAGGGAGGAAGATGAGGACTACCAAGGGCGAATTGAGCAGCAACTTGCCAAGCAGGAGGAAGAAGATATTGAGAAGATTAAAGAAGAAAGTAGAAAGCGAACACAAGCAATTTTGGAAAAATATAAAAAGCAGGAAAATCAGCAACATCTTGAAGGAGGCAAGTGTTGCTTAATTTATGTTTTTGATTTTTCATGTTACTTCTAATTTTTGTGTTGAGAACATACTTATGACATCCCTATTTGTTTTTCCCAGTACTTATTTGTATACTTGTAACTCTGTTTTAATGTTCTCCACATGCTTCCTTTGCATCAGAGGAGGTATCAATGGAAAAGGATGGTATGCAACAAGATATGCAGAAAATCAATGTTCTTAGCAGCAATGAGGGGGTTGTGGAACAGCAAGATCTTTCAGATGCATTATTTGTTGAACCATCTTTTACTGTGGGCAAATCACCTGTTCAAAATGGTTTTTCAGTTCCTGAGAACATTGGCGCTACATGTGTGCTTGGGGAGGGTAGTCCAAAGGTTAAGTTGTCATTTTTAATACACTATTATTTAAATCTTTATTTTATTTGTACTCCATTTCAATAAAAATATCTAATACATTGTTTGAGCATGTCTTACTGATTGATCGGCAAATTACCTTTATATGTTCATTGATAGTTCTCATTTTGAATATGAGATTCCATAATGTGTATGCGTTTATCTAGCTTTTTCCCACAATGGTCTTTACCTGATATTAAACAAGTGGTAAAAGTTGTACTTGGAGAATCAAAAAAAAGTTTCTATAAAAAAAAATAGTTGGTGGTGAAATAAGAATGTGCAAGAAAAGATAAAATATAAGAAGGTAAGTTATAAAATTTGGTTTAAATATAAAAGCTTATAGAACTGGGAAAAATATCAAACGACTCATAGGGAGTCTAAGAGAACAATCTGTGACGCTAAAAATATTGTGTTTATAATAGATTAGATACTAAGGAGGTTGAAAAATATATGTATAAACTAGCTAGATAAAGAGAATAAAAGTAAAGATTTAACTCAAGTAAAGTGTATTAAAGATGAAAATTAAAAAGTGTTTTTTTTTAGAAAAAGATATTCAAAATGGTTGGGTGAGTTATTTTAATAAACTTTTTAATGAAGTTTCGGAAAATATGATCGACCTTAGTGATCTTAATATTGTTGATAATAATAAAATGTTTCATTTTTACCGTCACATTAGTAAAAAAGAAGTTGAGGGCGCTTTAAAGAAAACAAAGGGTGGAAAGTTTGTAGAACATGATGATATCCCAATTGAAGTGTGAAAATATTTGGGAGATTTGGAAGTTTCTTGGCTAACTAAACTCTTTAATATTATTTTAAAAACTAAAAAAATGCCTGAGGAGTGGAGGAAGAGTATTTTGGTCCCTATTTTTAAGAATAAAAGGGATGCACAAGAGTGTACCAATTATAGAAGAATTAAGTTGATGTGTCGTACTTTAAAATAATGGGAGAGGATAATTGAACATAAGTTAAGACGGATTACAAGCATTTCTCATAATTGATTTGGATTTATGTGGGGCGGGTCTACTGTGGAAGCTATACATTTATTGAGAGGTTTGATGGAGAAGTTCAGAGATAATAAGAAGGTCTACATATGATTTTTATTGATTTAGAAAAAGCTTATGAGTAGGTTCCAAGAGATATCCTTCGGAGAGTTATTTAGAAGAAAGATGTTGATATGAGTTATAGTCTAGTCAATAAAGATATGTATACAAGAAATGTTACTTGTGTTCGAACAGAAGGAGGATTGACCAAATATTTTTATATTTCTGTTGGTTAACATCAGGGATTGGCTTTAAGCCCATATTCTTTTTGCTTTAGTTATGGATGGTCTTACTTGACATTTACCTTGGTGTATGCTTTTTGCTGATGATATCCTTCTCGTGGATAAAATGAAAGAAAAAGCTCAGGAAAAACTTGAGATATGGAGTTCTGCTTTGGAGTCTAAAGGCCTTTGTTTGAGTAGAACTAAAACTGAATACATGGTTTAGTGATAGATCTAGTGACAGAAGTGTAACTATGGGTGATCAAATTATTAAAAGGGGTCAACGCTTTAGATATCTCGAGTCTATTGTTCAAAGTGATGGTGATATTGATGGGGTTGTTATTAGTAGAATTCAAGTTGGTTGGTTGAAATGGAGGAATGCTTTGGACTTATTGTGACTTATTGTGTGATAAAAAGATTAAAAAGTACCGCTTAGACTGAAAGGAAAATTTTATAAGAAGACAGTGAGACCTGAAATGCTATATGGAGAAAAATGCTGGCTTTTAAAAGAGAAGCATAAAACTAAGTTGAGTATTGCCGAGATGAGATTGCTTTGCTGGATGAGTGTCTTGAAATTTTTCACTTAGAGACAGAATGCGAAATGAATATATCCGTGATAGGGTTGTTATAACTCTAGTGACGAAGAAAATTAGAGAGAGCTGTCTTAGATGGTTTGGTCACATTAAGCGTCGACCATCTGATGATCCGATTAGAAGAGTAAATGTTTTAGATTTGACTTAGACTTGTTTTAGATTTGACTTATGTTAAGAAAGACAAAGGTAGACCTAGGATGTCTTGGGCATATTGTATAAAAAATGATCTTAATTTATTAAAATTAATTTAAAACATGACACTAAATAGGATGCAATGGAGAAAAAAGATTCATGTAGCCGACCCCACTTAGTGGGATAAAGGTTTTGTTGTTGTTGGACTTTGCCTGATATGAATTGGTTGGTTTCTAGTTTTGGTCATTGTTAACTTATCTTTCTTTGTAAAAAATCATGCTTGATGTTTGTTTCTTTTTCTACTCGGTTTGTTCAAGTTGGTGTATTATGAATTTTCTTTTTATTAGTTAACATATTCAAGGGAAATGCAAAAAAATAAAAGTTTTATAGACAGACAATACAATCTCATGTTGAACAACATTGCTAAACTTGTTAGCTATTTGGTGTCATACTTATATACAGATCTTAATATTGGAGGATTATGGATATTATGATTCAATGTGCTTTTTACTATGATAGGAATGCTAATGAATAGCTATTTTGTTTATTCTTAAAAATATACTTCTTAAGCATTGAAATTGTACAAAAGACACTATGATGTAACTCATTTTTTTCTTTTATGTTGAACAGGGTGAGAGGTCAGCTGATATGTTTTGTGATGACATATTTGGTGAATCCCCAACAGGTGTTCGGAAAGTGGTAACTTCACTTGTCTTGTATATTGACTGTTTTCTTTTCTTTTTTTTTGGTTTAGAAGAAGTTTTCCTTGCAAATATTAAAGAACAAAGCACTTTGTAAAATTGTGCTTAGTTGTCTGAAATGTTAAATTAGGTAATCTTGCGTAGTGTAGTTTGTTTGGTTTTTTTTAAACATGTAAAATTTGTCTGAAGTTCTTCAGAACCTTTTATTTAATGCTTGACATTATAGCGTTAAATTTATTTTTAAAAAGGTTAAATTTTAAAAGTTCAAACCATGTTAGTTACCAGATTTAACTTTTGGTATTCTCATCACTAATTACTAAAAACGGGTGAATGAAAGAAAACTAGTGTTTTGTAACTCAAATTTACCAGAAAGCAAAGTTATTTTCTTTTTTCTTTGGTGCATAACTTTTCTCTTAGTGATTTTCCTTATATTGAAGGTGATTAGTTTCGGGAACATAAATTTGGGAAGGATTTGAAGTTGACACATCTCTTTGCACTTAATCTTTGGTTTTCAATTTTTTGGTGAAAATCTTGTTAGGTGGGCTACTTTCATAGAAAATCCAATCCTCTTAAATTCCACATCACTTAATTTATCAGCATTTCTTACTTGCCGAAAAACACAGCAGTTTTTTTTATTAGCTCTTATTTTTTGTGTTTCTTTTGGTCAACCACCTTTTATTTTGGGACTTAGCTTTAGGGTTTTTTATGTTGCAATCTGTAGAAATTTTGAGTTTTATTTAGTGAGATTTAAGCAATTGTCTTTTCATATTCATTTAATATAGTTTTTTGTCTTATTTATGATATAATAAAATTTTATTTTGCTTGCTAATTCAATATAATTTAATGTTTATGTCAATGTTCAGCATTTGTAGCCATATTATTAAGGTGTAGTTAGTAAGATTTGAAGCCCATTTAAGAGTTGTGGGTGGAATCAGGAGTGCAAAGGGCGAGGAGCAGAAGACAAGCCTAATAGCAGCCCATATTTAATCAAGGGGTTTATATTGTGATAAAACATAAGATTTTTGGAGGAGCTATTTATTTTTATATATTATTTTGTATGCAGTGGGTTTGGTGACTGGTTAATTGTTGGGACACCATGTAGATATACTAGTTGGTATTTAGCTTGTTTGTACTATTTCATGCTCCCTTTTTCCATTTTCTTCCTGGCATTGTGTTGTGAAATGAGCTTTGGGAGGATGTATGCTGAAATTAGGTTAGGTCATGCTCGATTCTTGTAAGTTTTTTTGGTTGGGCTAAGAAAATTCAACATGAACTTGGGTCCTTCATTATTTTTATTTTTTAATTCAAATGCTCCTTGGCCCTTTTTGTGGTCAGACCCAACCTGGTTCCTTTCTATAAGACATGAATGCATCCTGGGCCTGATTTGTGCTTTACTAATGAATGTATATACTTGCTGGAATACTATAATTTGTTTGTATGACATGCATAGCATGCCTGCAAGTTTGTAAATGAAATGCAGTAGAAATTCCATTTTGGTGTAGCTTTCTGGCTTTCATTGACAATCCGACCCATTTGAAACTTGTTTATATCTAAACGGAGATTTTGATGTGGTTTGGTTCTTTGACCTGTTGAAAAACAACACAATCCTTGGTTGGATTGAGTAAATTGAAAGTTTTTCAGTATGGGATGGTTACCCCTTTTAGTCTTTTCTTATAAGAAAAATGTAGAAGAAAATTTCATGCTGCTTGTAGAATTAAATTTTCTCTTTCCGTTAAGGGATGTGCAGCCCTATTGTTTTGAGTATTAAGATTTTTGTAAGGTGCACAAATCACATGTAATCTTTTTGATGTTTATGTTCCAAATTTTCACACCTCGAGTTATCTGGAAACTAAACATTTGTTCTTTTTAGTCTTTTTATACATTATTAGTTTAGATGACATCTCACTGAAGCATCCTGTTCATTTTGTACTTCTTTTCAAAGTAACCGCAATTTGGAAGCTCAATTTTTTTTAGCTATTTTCGTGAAGCTTCTCCTATATTTACCATATGATGGTTGTTCTTGTTTTTTTTCCAGGGTAAGGATGATTTTATGAAAATTGATGGAAATGGTCTTCATGACAACTGGGATGATGCTGAAGGTTACTATAGTAAGTATGATATTCTTTCTCTTCATTTATTTCTTATTTTAAAGTTTTTTTTTTTCCTTTTTTGGCAACCATATAACTTAATTTTATAACCTGTTGGTACAGTTTACAGGCTTGGGGAAGTGCTGGATGGACGTTACGAAGTTATTGCAGCACATGGTAAAGGAGTTTTTTCTACTGTTGTTCGTGCGAAGGATCTGAAATGTGGAAAAAGTGATCCTGAAGAAGTTGCCATAAAAATTATTAGGAGCAATGACACCATGTAAGTGAAGATCCAACTTGGTTGCATCAATTGTCTTTCATAATGTTTAATTTTTAGTCTGCTAGTAATAATTTAACTCTGTATTTGAAAATTTATGCTGGGAGAAGTTTCAATATGGAAGTTAACAACATACTAATTTACTTAGTCATGCTAACATTATAGATATTTTCAGTCTTATTATTATTATTATTATTATTTTGATTGGATGTAATATGGCAGGTACAAGGCAGGCATGGAAGAGCTTGTCATTCTGAAGAAGCTTGCTGGTGCAGATCCTGAGGACAAACGCCACTGTGTTAGGTTTCTTTCGAGTTTCAAGTATCGGAATCATCTTTGTTTAGTTTTTGAATCACTTCATATGAATCTCCGTGAGGTTTTAAAGAAATTTGGTCGTAATATTGGGCTTAGACTGACTGCTGTGAGGGCCTACGCAAAGCAGCTCTTCATTGCGTTGAAGCATCTAAGAAATTGTGGAGTTCTGCACTGCGATATAAAGCCAGATAATATGCTGGTATACTGCTTATTTAACAGCTTCAAATTACACTTTGCCACATCTGTAGACCTTTTTGAATATGTTTTTGTTTATACCAATATACTTGTTTGTTTTATCATTCATATGGTTGATTTTTTTTACATATTATCTCTCTTTTCGCTGCTCAACTACAAGTCCAATTTTTTCAATAAGCACTTTTTAATGCTTACGCAGGTGAATGAGGCCAAGAACGTGCTAAAGCTTTGTGACTTTGGCAATGCCATGTTTGCTGGTAAGAATGATATCACACCCTATCTTGTTAGCCGCTTTTATCGCGCCCCCGAAATAAGTAAGTTTAATTCTCTAACTCATCTAGTTAGTTTCTGCTATATATTTTTTTACCATTTTGGCCAAATTTGTGGCTGATAGTCATTCTTTTTGCTCTTTGTTTGATTACTACTTTTCTTTTGCAGTTCTTGGATTGTCGTACGATCATCCCTTGGACATTTGGTCAGTTGGATGCTGCTTGTTCGAGCTGTACACTGGGAAAGTCTTGTTTCCTGGCCCCTCTAACAATGATATGCTCCGCCTCCACATGGAGTTGAAGGGTCCTTTTCCCAAAAAAATGCTTCGAAAGGTGACATTTCTAAGCATTATGACCGTTTCATACCCTCCACAAATAAAATATCTTGAAATTTTTTTGATGGAAAATTCTCCTCTTAGCTGCTTCTTTATTAAAGTAAATTGTTTCCTGGATGCTATTGGGTTGACATTTAGAATTTTTATGTGAAATACTATGCTTACGAAAGCATAGGTATGGGTTGCTATGGTTTCCTCGTCATATGTCATACGTCATTTAAGAATATATTAAATTCCACCATGAAAAATTTTACTATTTCTTATGCATGCTTTGAGATTTTTTTCAATACAAATTTCTCATTACTTGCATGTCAAATCTTTGAACTTTCCATCCTGAGCCTATATTTGAGCGCTTTTAGGCTATGCTAATTGTTTCATATCCAATATTATGCATTATGCCTATAAAGGATATATTAAATTCTTTGGAGATCTGCTTCTGTTAACATTGCGTGTGGAAAAAAATTGGGTTGATCTGGATGTATTTTATACCAATTTGATTTGCTTTGAGATGAGTGTCATATATGGCTTATCAATTAACTTTTATATTGTTCTTATCTCATTTGAAACCCAATTGGTAGAAAATCCATTCCGGCCAACTTTGGCTTAGGATATCCTGATCTAAAACTTTCTACTTGGCGTGCTTGAAGGGGTTTTGTTAATTTGGTAGAAAAGAAGTTCTGAATAGCATTGAAAGAATATAATACATTTTGAATTGCTTTATTACAGGCTGAAATTCATAAAACGGGTATATTATTTTCACAATCAACAAGTTGCTACTATACTCTGGCTGGCTGATTTTTCTTTACAACTAAAAAGTGAAAGCTTACATGCAGGTTTAACTGATCTTCGGAAACAAGGAGAAAATATATAGGAATGTTTAAGGCAAAAAACAGCATTTGAGAGATGGCATGGTTTATAATAGTATGGAAGGTTTAAGAAATAGTCAGAGAACGGCTAGGATGGAGATTGTGAGAATAAGTGTAAGATAAAAGAATCATTGCTGTGCTTAGCTTAGCCAACAGAGCTAAAGTTTATGATAATGACATTGACAGAAGAACAGTTTGTTTATACTGGACATGTTTTTTACTTGAACTTGTTTGCTTTTTTGGTAACTTCTATGTGATTGAAACCACTTTTGATGTGTATGCTGCACATCCATTTTTGCATGGTTTAGTTTACGTTTTATGCCTTCCTTATATATGCATGCATAAAAAATTTGGGTGCATCTTACAAAGGATCCTTTTCCCAAGGGAGGATTGGCACTAGTGTATAACCTTGTGCCACACGGTTCCTTTATTTAGCAAGCTGCATGGTTTGATTCTTCAGTTCCTTTTGCCTTGCCTAGACTCTCTATCTGTTGAGTAAAGCCTGTAGTTAGTATCAAAGAGTTACCTTTTCACGGATTCATTTTGATATAATGTAGGGTGCATTTATTGATCAGCATTTTGACCAAGATCTGAATTTCCATGCTACGGAGGATGACCCTGTTACAAAGAAGGTATTAACTTCTGCTTTCTGTTTTGTATGTATATATGTAGGGGTGTGTGTGTGTGTATATATATATATATAGTCTTTTGTAGAAATGGTTAAATTGCATCATGTTTTTACAGACTGTAAAAAGGCTGCTTCTTAATATCAAAACAAAGGATATTGGCAGTATTATTTCGGGTTCTCCTGGGGAGGACCCCAAAATGTTGGCAAATTTCAAAGATCTTCTTGAAAGAGTATTTATACTTGATCCAGAAAAGAGGATGACAGTATCACAAGCATTGAGCCATCCATTCATCACGGGCAAGTGACTTAAGATGCTGATTTTCTGACCAAAAAAAGTTAAATTAGCTGTGATGTCAATTTATACTTATCACATCTAATTTTTTCGCGCTGTCTTATCAAATTATGCACGGGCTGAGCGCATTTGGTTCAGTTTGGAGTCTGTTTGCATCCACCAGACATGGAATAGGATGGTGGTTGATTTAAAGGCCTTGCTAGTGGTGGTTCTAATCAGTGGGATGTGTTCTGTTTTCTTGTAAGACAACTAGCCTAAGGTGTTTTAGCCTCATGTAAAATCATTCTTAAGTGCTTTTTGATGATTTTTATAAACCATTTACTTCTGTTTTATCTGTTATCATTTATAGTTTTCATTCCGGGTGCTTCTCAATTGTGCAAATATTAATTGATGTTTTTTCTCAACCTCCTAACCTGGAATGTCTTGTCCGGTGGCTCATTGAGAAGCCAGTGACTGGCCTTCTGCCAATTCCATTTAGCTGATTTTATAGATTATGTTCTTTCTTATCACTTGGCTACTATTTCATATTTTACTTTTAAGGCGTACTGATGGCGTTCTGGTTTTACTTCCCTGCTCCTTGAATATTTGCTTAATTATTTGAATGCAATTTCCTTAATTTTTAGAACTACATTGTCCCTAGAGAGTCTAATTCAGTCTTTGATCCAGGGTTTTTGCCAGTCTATTCGCTATCACTTCAATGTATTAGAAGACAAGGCAACTGAAAGAAGGTACCCTGGTTTGTTTGCTGGGAAGCTTTACGTGTAAATAACACATGAGATCATCTGTTTTCAAAGATCTGGCTTCATTATGTTGGAAAAAATAATCTAAATAAAATAGGAAACTGTAAATTGTAATATTGCACCAATTATCCATATTTTCTGTTGCAATCTCATGTTCTCTTTGTGCTTTAATATTCAAATTTATTATCACCCAAATATCCCAAGCATTCATGTGTTAGGGGTGGATACTAGGGCTTCAATCGATTTACAATCAAAACCACGCCGCGGAAAAATGATCACATCAATTTGAGAAATACGGAGTAAATAGTGAATAGAAGCACACAAATTAATCCTAAAAAGCAAACCAAGATTTAACATGGAAAAAACCAAGAATAGGAAAAAATCACGGAGTCACATCACATCACACCAAAATTCTACCGTGAAAGGAGACAAAAATTTACACCACTCGGATCTTTTATCTACATTACCGGAACTTACAAGAATTCATCTACAAATCTTCTCTTGATCGCACAAGAGAAATTACATGATCCTAAATCCACCACTTGAACTTCCAGCTCAACATAAAAGCCCTTCGAAAGTTCACTGTGAGCCAAAAAGACTTGCTTACTCTGATTCGAGGGATTAAAAACTGAATTGGGAGACAAAACGCACCAGGCATAAATCACACCGCTCCTTTGCGTAATTAGCCCGACCACTCTGTTTCAGAGCTTGGAATGAAGGAAAATTGCAACATTGGTGCGCCACTTCGTGGTTTAATTACGCCACCCGCTTTTTTTCACTGTGTGGAACGAAAGAGCTGTTAGATAGGTAAGCCACCTTGTGAATAGTTTTGTTGGCTGAAATTCTTGTTTTGCGGCTGCGAGTTCTTTTTTGGGCTTCATATCACAACAATCTTTCACTGGGAGATTGATAGCTCCCAACACTTCTCCTCCAAATATGTACCAACGTCTATACAATCTTCATAGTTTTGTAACGTAGTGTGGATCATCTTCGGTCTCAACTTTCCTGGAATCCAACTAAAGCCAAACATAACTCCATTTTCTCAATAATCATCATCTTAATCAACATTTCTGCAAGATTCTGAGTCGTGTATATCTTCTCCACGAGTAACTGCCCATCTTTTAATAGAAAGTGATATCTTAGCTAAATATATTTCGCCATGAAATTCTTAGCAAAATGAATAGTACTCATAGTGTCACTATAAAAATTTTCATTCCCTTGTTTCTTATCTAGTTTTTTCATAAAACTCTGCAGCCAAATCATCTTCTTGTTAGTAATAGTGATAGCAGTGTATTCGGTTTCCGTAGTTGAAAGTGCAATTATCTTTTGTAGTGTGAAAACACAACACACAAATGTATTTTCCAAAGTGAAAACATACCTTGTCGTCATACCTTAATCCACAAATTTCTGTAGACTGATTCCTGCACTTTCAAAGTAAGGTGTCATGTTGACTGCTCATCTTAAATACCTTAAAATTCACTTCACTGCCTCGCTATGATGCTTTCCTGGATTACCAATGTACTTGCTAATCACTACTACATAAACAATATCCTATGTTGGACGGATACAAACATAAGGACACAGACACGATACGATACAAATATTAGACATGTTTATTATTGAAAATATAGGACATGGATATGCGTCAGACACATTATTATAATAAGAATTCTTAATATATATATATATAACTAGTAAACTCCTAAAATAACTTCACTAAATGATGCCCAAGGCGCTGTTATCTTTTGGTTTTATTTTTATTTCATTTTCAAAAATATAATTATTTAATGTATTTTTTGTATATTTTATTTTTTATTTTTAAAAATAAATTAAATTATATTGAAAAAGAATTAAAATATATAAAAAATATATATATGTATTATTTTGTATTTTATAATTAATTTTTGATTAAAAGAAACAAAATGACCAATGGCTTCTTTGGCACCAAATTCTTATGTATTTACATATCTAGCACCCAAATTTTGATTTTTATATTTGTCAACCAAATCATTCATATCACATGTAATATAATATTAGGTTCAATTTTAAAAAGTGATACACATTTTCATATATATGTAAGGTGACATATGTAAAAATTGAAATGTAACTGTTAAAATTATAAATACAAAAAAATTGACTGATATGTATCCAAATTTTTCTTTAATTTTACCAAAAATATATGTATTATTTAATTTTAGTTTTAATTTTTTTTTAAAAAATTTAATTCATTAATTTAGGACACGCGTGTCTTGTGTATAACTAATGTATCTTTTTTTAATATTGTTTAAATCGAGCACTTGTATGTCCTGATAGAACCGCGTCGAAGTCTTGTTCGTGTCCAATACATGTCTGACACTACACGACTCGTTAGAAGCATACGAAGTTCTTTCGATTTATGCTTTATTTTCAGACTTCGGAGATAATTTCATAGATAGCCTGAAGTGACTTCTTAAGGAAGTGCACACTAGTTGTCTCACTTATGTTGAATCTCTATATGATCTTCTCAACATATTCCGCATGAGACAACTTTAGTGTACTTGTACCCATGTCCCTGTTGATTCTCATCTCGATGATCTTAGTTGAACCTAAATTCTTCATCTCAAATTTTTTTGATATTTGCTTATTCAAGTTTTTAATTTTTTGCCCCTGCAATTAGCATGTCATCTACATACAAAAGAAGCAAGATATAACAATTATTAAAATTGTTTATGAAGCAACAATGATCTGTCAAGCACTTAATTTACCAATTGTCAGACTTGAACATGTCAAATCTCACGTACCTCTATCTATTTAGACATTTCTTCAACCTGCTGACTAATTTTTTTCTCTAGAATTTCATAACCCTATGGTTGCACCATATACTATTTTTTTATATCTCCATGTAAAAAGACTGTGTTTACATTCATCTGCTTCATATGTAGATCTTTCTCTGTTACTAAGCTCATCACAACTCTGACAATTGTCATCTTCATTGTAGGGGAACAGATCTCAGTGTAGTCCACTCCTTTTTGTTGAAATTTCTTAACAACAAGTCTTGTCTAGTAATGTTTAGTTTTCAACTTGTAGACCCATTTATTGTGTTGTGCTCTTTTATCATCTAGTAATATCGCTAAGTCCCATGTATGATTTGGCTTTAGTAATTACATTTCATCATCCGTTACAGGCCCTCGCTCCTTTGATTCTTCAACTTGAGTAACATTTTCATAACACTCTGGTTCACCACTATTGTTAGCAACAATCAGTACAAAGAAGAACAGTACCTCTGTGCCTGTCTTGAGATTCAGATGCGTCTCCTGACTTTAGTAGCAGGTGACTAAAAACTTTCCATGTTTCAGATTGATGACTTCTTTCTTCACCATCCTGATTACCATTAGTTTCTATCTTAACATGTGTGGATTTTTCTAGAGTAACTGGCGGATAATTCTGAGTTATGCTCCTATTTGTACATATTTATTTCATTGAGAGCAACATCTTTACTCCTAATGAACTTTTGATTCTCATAATTGCAGAATTTGTAGTCAAATTTATATGTCATGCTAAATGAAAATGCAGTTGAAAAATTTTGAGTCATGTTTACTTCTTGATGCTGCATCAACATGAACATATGTGGAACCACCAAATATCTTCAGATGAGACAGATTTACATTTTTGTCCATCCAAACTTATTGAAGTAAGCCTTCATTCAAAGATACCGATAGAATTTGATTGATCAAATAAAGAACAGTGTTTGTTGCTTTTGCCCAGAATTGTCTTGACAAACCTTCTTGCAACCTTATAAGCTTGGCATGCTCAATGATGATTCTATTCATATGTTCAACCACACTGTTTTACGGTGGTGTCCTTAGAGCAGTGAAGTGATGCTGTTCTTCTTTATAACATAGTATTTTCTGACATCTGATTACGATACTGACTTCCATTTTCTCATCGGAGACACTTAAACCTCAAGCTTCTCAATTTTTACTGCGACTTTTTAATTCTTAATCACTTCAAATAAACAGATTAATACTTTAAAAAGTAAACACTTACCTTTCTTGTGCGATTGTTAATGGAAGTGACAACACTGTCTGAACCTCCAATGGATTGAAATGGAGCAAGCCCTATTACATCAGTATATACTAACTCTAATTGCTTTAACTTCACAATTGACTTACTTTTGGGGAAATAAACTTTATTGTTCTTGTGATATATGCAATCTTCACAGAACTCTAAATTCACAAATTTCAAAACTTGAAGCTTGTTCTTTGAAAGTAAAAATTTCATGTCATTCTCGTTCATATGACCAAACCTGCAGTGTGAAAGACTTGCATCTACTTTGGTTCTAGTCACATTGATGGATTATGCCATCCCATTGATCACGTAAATAGTGCCTTCAATGTTGATCCGAGCCATCACCCTTGCCCTTCTTGTCACCTTTCACAAATCACTCATGATCAAATTTTTTCTTTAGACTTAAATGTGTCTAATTTCACTAAGCTTTCAGACTCTTGCATATGACAACATGATATCAATATGATCCTTTTCTTTGAGATTGCAGACTTTGTTATCTCTGAAATAAACCTTCTCTAAATTACTCTAAGTGTAATTTTTGAACACCTCTTTATGGGGTGTGTATGAAAAGATGCACCTGAATCTACTATCTAAGATTCAATATTGACTGGGTATAAAATCAGGGAGTCACGACATTTATAAAGGGATTTCTGTCTTGACCTCCAACACCAATGTTATTTGTAGTTTTGCAGTCATTGAATTGTTTCGTTCTTTTCACAATTCCAATATTCATCTTTGCTATTTCCTCTATCTAACCTGGGCTTTTCTCTTCTGGACTTAAATTTTTCTATCTGTATTCTTATCTAGATTTTTTCCCCATTTTTAACATTCAACGCAAAACTTAAAAGGTCGTCATTTACTGTCTTTCTACGAACTTCTTCATTCAACATTCTACGAACTTCTTCATTCAACATTAACCCAATAATGCCATTGAAGTTCAACTTCATATGACCTGAAGAGTTAGTCACCGTCGTGACCAATTCATCCCAGCCGTCCGTCAATGAAAATAAAATTAACATTGCCCTGACCTCATCATCAAATTTATATCCATATAACATAACTGACCTATCGCAATATTAAAATTATTCAACTGTTCAGTCATCGAACTGTCTTCTATCATTTTCTCATCAACAAAATTTTATTTTAAGCACAATATTTCTCATACATTATTATCAGTGAAGTCATGAGATCTATCATAGTTTTCTTATTCACTTTGTTGAACGTAATAGACAACGATAGTGAAAGAGGGATCAAATATAGGGTCGTTCGATCCTACACTTCACATTCGCTCAGTGTCATTGTTTCAGGCTTCTTAGAGATTTCTTATCGTGGCAAATAATGTTTCTTCTGATATAGCAAATCTTTTACTTCCCTTTTTTAGAACATAAAGTTTGATCCATTAAACTTCTTCACTTTGTACCTCATTTCGTCGGTCATTGCTCCCACTTGAATCTAAGAACTTCATAAAAGAACTCCTGTTCTGAAACCACTTGCTAGGGATAGATGCTAGTGCTTTGATCGTTTTACAATAAAAAATACACTATAGAAAAATGAGCTCATTAATTTGAGAAATTCAAAGTAAAATATCGAGCAGAAACACAAAATAAAGTTATCTCATAAAGATATCAAAATTTAATGTGAAAAAACTTGAGAACATGAAAAAATCACGAAGCCACACAATACCAAACTTTTACTACGATAATAGAAATATGCAGAAATTTATGCCACTCAACTCTTCTCTCCACCATGAACTTACAAGAATTCTGCTCCAAAATCTCTTTTATTTGCACTAGAAATTACACTAGCAAAATCCACCTCTCAAACTTCACCGTTCCACACAAAACCCTTTCGAGAGTTCACTGTGCTCCAAAAAGATTCGCTTGCTCTAAATTGAGGGCTTAAAAACTGAATCGGGAGACACATCGCACCTGGCATGATTGCCTGCTCCTCGGTCTAATTATGCCAACAGCTCTGTTTCAGAGCCTGGAATGAAGGAAACCGTGGCATAGGTATGCCTTTCCTCTGTGTAATTACCCTACCCGCCTTGTTTCACAGCTAAAACGAAAGATCTGCAAAATAGATGCTGCACTCTGGGCGTAGTTATGCCGTCTGGAATTCCTGTTTTACGGTTGTCGGTGCTTTTTTAGGCTCCATATCTCAACATCATAAACTCTTGAAAGATGTACTTTGAGAGCTTACCTTTTTTTTTTTTTTTGTTTTTTTTCTTAACTTTTTTTTCTTACTATGATTTAGTAAACCTGAAAATAGTTTTGTATAATATCTGATCCATATTTTGGTTTCTGGAAGCCTCTGCCTCTGCACTGGAATTGGCTGGATGATCATCTCGTTCCAAGGAAACTTTAACATGGTAAATTTGTTTTGAACTATTACTTTCTTCTAATGATTTTTTTTCTTAAGCTTTTCAGTTTTAATGGTTTTACTGGTTTCCATTTGACAACTTTATTAACATTGCTTCTTTTTGTTTCTAGGGAAGAATTTCTTCTTCCAAGGAATGCAAGTTTTCCATGTTACACTTTCGCTTTAGGTATGCATTTATGACTATTTTCTAAATTGAGATAAAATGTGTGCTGTTCTGTGCTCTATTATACGTTAACGGATCTGCATCTCTTGGTGATGAATGTGCTGGTTCTCAGCCCTTGAGCTTAGGAAAGTTTAAGATACATGCACTGGTTTACATAATGATTAAGCCTGGTGCAATGATTTATTCTCATGATTTTTTTGACTTGATGATTTTAAATCATGAAAAGAATCACTTTAATACGCTGGGACAATGCTGCATTTTAACCTCTCTTCAAACTCCTTATTCACGTATCTGTACTATTGATTAACTCCACTGGAGACCCCTATTGATGGGAGCGTTACTCCCACGTTTGTTTATTAATATTGAGTTGTTGTGGACTACTTGTAATGAAAATAAATTTTAAGTTAAATTATATATGGAGGTCTTGGTCACTATTTATAAAAACCCTGTAGTTGATCTTCAATGTGCAAAATCATAGCATTGTTAAAAAAAATAGCTGGAAAGTTGGGTCATCGAACTATATATGTTACTATTGATTCTTGTATATGTAAAGTTGTGAGATCCTCCTTTTCCTCGATAAAACCCAGATTTCTCTTCCCTAACTTTATTCACTTCCAACTTGGGTGCCAGACTTCACTATTTTACTTGGGTTTTTAATTTTATTGCAATTATATGCTCATGTCATCGGCTTCTTGCAAATAAGATCAACACAGCATATGTAGCTGTTGCCATCTTTCAAGATTGAGGCCCATTAGTAAGTTTTGCCAGTGTAGGCGGCATGCAACAGTGGAGATATCTCAACCTACTGCATATTGAGGCGTGATAATTTTTACTCTTGCAATCAATATTTATGAATTCCTTGAGCGGTGTGAACATTATAGCGTCAAATCTCTTCTGCTATTTGCAACACATTCCCTTTTCATAATGATCGCATGGATCTTCCAACTGAAATCTGGAATGGATCAGTTGAAGAAGCGCCTAGCTAATGTAACTTTAATTTGCACATTTTGCAATGAGTGCAGGACTGATTTAGAAAAATCTAGCCAAATTGAAATATTTCTTTTTCTATCTCATGTTTGTCTTATAGGTGATTTTATTGCTGTAACTCTAATGAATACGATTTTGGCATAGCTAAAGTTTCATTTCTTCTTCAGCAAGCGTACTAAAGGCAATTAAAAAATTAACAGTAGAACATCAATCTATACAACAACAACAAGCCTTTATCCCACTAAGTGGGGTCGGCTACATGAATGCTTTTTCTTCTTTTAGTGATTTTTATAATATATTAGATGCTAAAGAGGATGAAAAATGTTTGTATAAACTAGCTAAATAAAGAGAAAAGAAAAACAAAGATTTAACTCAAGTAAATTGTATTAAAGATGAAAATCAAAATGTGCTTTTTTAGAAAGATATTCAACATAGGTGGGTGAGATATTTTGATAAACTTTTCAATGAAGTCTGTGAAAATACGATCGATCTTAGTGATCTTAATAGCGTTAATAATATTCAAATGTTTATTTTTACCGCCGTTGTAGTAACAAAGAATTTGAGAAGGCTTTAAATAAAATCAAGGGTGAAAAATGGGGCCTGATGATTTTCCAATTGAAGTGTGGAAATATTTAGGAGATTTGAGAATTTTTTGGCTTACTAAACTCTTTAATTTTATTTTAAAACCTAAAATAATGCCTGAGTGGAGGAAGAGTATTTTGGTCCCCAATTTTAAGAATAAAGGGGATGCACAAAAATGTGCAAATTATAGAGGAATTAAGCTAATGTGTCATACTTTAAAATTATGTGAGGGGATAATTGAACATAGGTCAAGACGTGATGCAAATATTTCTTATATCAGTTTGGATCTATGTTGGGTAGGTCTATTATGGAAGCTATACGTTTATTGTGAGGTTTGATGGAGAAGTGTAGATAGAATAAGGAGGATTTACATATGATTTTTATTGATTTAGAAAAAGCATACCCTATGGTTCTAAGAGAAGTCTTTTGGAGAGTTCTAGAGAAGAAATGTGTTGATATGACCTATATTCAAGTTATTAAAGATATGTATACTAGAGTTGTTACTTTTGTTTGAACAGAAGGAGGATTGACCAAGTTTTTTTCTACTTCAGTTGGATTACATTAGGGATCGGCTTTAAGCCCATATCTTTTTGCTTTAGTTTTGGATGCTCTTACTGGACATGTACTGGAGGATATACCTTGGTGTATTTTTTTGTTGATGATATTCTTATTGTGGATAAGACTAGAGAAAGAGTTTAGGGAAATCTTGAATTATGGAGGTCTACAGTGGAGGAGTCTAAAGGACTTCGTTTGAGTAGAACTAAAACTGAATGCATTTAATGTAATTTTAGTAGCAGTAGCTCTAGTAACAAAGTTGTAACTATGGGTGATCAAATCATTAAAAGTTGTGAACGTTTTAAATATCTTGGGTCAATTGTTCAAAGTGATGATAATATAGGCAGGGATGTTATTAGTAGAATTCAAGTTGGTTGCTGGAAGTGGAGGAATGCATTGGGCTTATTGTGTGATATAAAATTACCGCTTAGATTGAAAGGAAAATTTTATAAGATGGTGTTGAGACTTGCAATGCTCTATGGTGCATAATGTTGGCCTTTAAAAGAGAAGCATAAAACAAAGTGTTGTTGAGATGATAATACTTAGGTGGATGAGTGGCTTGACATTTAGAGACAATGCGAAATGATTACATCCGTGATAGGGTTAGTGTAGTTCCAGTGGGGGACAAGATTAAAGTGTCTTCTTAGATGGTTTGACACTTAAATGTCGACCATCTGATGATCCGGTTAGGAGAGTAAATGTTTTAGATTCGAATATTGTTAAGAAAGGTAGAGGTAGACCTAAAAAGACTTGGACACATTGGATAAAAAATGATCGTAATCTATTAGATTTAAATAAAATATGACACTCAATAGGACACAATGGATAAAAAAGATTCAAGCAGCCGCCCCACTTGGCGGGATAAAGGCTTGCTGTTGCTGTGTCGTATTCAGTGTCTTATTTTCATCAAACTATATGTCTAAAAAATTCAAACAGGCCATAAGGTCATGCCTCGTTCAAGCAACGTTATGTTAATAGCCAAACTAAAAAAATTTTAAATCGGCTCATCCTAAAAATTGTTTAAGCACATTTGTTATTTTTGCGCTTCTTAGCAAACATTTTGACTTGCTTCTATCTTTTCTCATTGCCATGACCAACTGCTATTATGTACTGCGTAGATGATTAGATTGTTGTTTTTTTGTGAATGCTAATGATTATTCAGAAGTTTTATTATGAATTCTATCTAAGCCTTACTTTTACTATCACTGCCTCCTGGAGGTGCTTGAATTGCTTTTTTATTGTAGCCAACCAATCACATGTTGTGGTTGCTATGTGATCTACATGTAATACCTTCACCGAACTGTGCCCCACCGTTCCTCTTTTGATTTTTTTGTGGTGTACATTATCTCCTTCTGAATTCAGATATGGATATATTCCACCTTTTTTTACTTGTCATTTTTTTAAGCTAGTAATTGTTTGCATCATTCCTTCACGAGCTTTCATCTAAGCATTTGGCTTAAAGTCACTAGAGCTATATCATTCCTGGTTGTTCCTGTTGTATCGAATGCAGCAAAAAATCATTTACATGGAGCCTGCTAATCTCCATTATTTTTGATTCACATCTCTACGTTTCTCGAGATAAATAGACTATAATTGTGTCTTTTTGTGAACAACTTAAAATTTGTAGTTGTTTTTTGAATTTATAGGGACCCGCTCATCCACATGACACCTCTTTTGCTCTACTCTAGTCTTGCCCTTGTTGCTGGAGTTAGTTTGTCAACATGAGCATTTCTCTAGCATGCCTTACCAATTATTAAAATGCTGAGGCGATTATTTATTTATTGATTTCTTGATTGTCTTTAACATTGACTTCAAAGCATTATTGGGCCAAGAATTTTCTTTCCTTTTGTGCTGACGTGCAAATGTATTGTATATATCTGATTTTTGGCTTTGAGATAAACTTTTTAAATATCAAACATGTAAGGAATGTAAGCTTAAGTACAATCCAGAAGTTTCTCCTCACCTCTAGAATCTTTGTTCAGAGAAGGTCTCAAAGTTTTATGTATATAAGTACATATATGTTTGTGTGTGGTGTGTGTGTGTGTCTATATATATATATATTAAAAAACGCCCAATGACCGATTTTCCATGCGTTAGGCCTCATGATAAGAGCCCGCGCTATTTGCCTGAATATTCGAGAACCCAGCGCCACTGGGGATCGAACTCGTGACCTGAGGGGACTTACAGTGAACCCCGCCAACCAACAGGCCACGGCTTGCGGCACACACACTTGTGTGTGTGTGTGTGTGTGTGTGAGGCTTCTATCATCACTTCTATTATCACTTGACTTTTTAGTGAGGCTTCTAGATTGATTTTACGTTTTTTTCAACGATAACTCTGAAGTTTTCTTCTGAACATCTTCACTTACCTCTATTTGAATGGATTCTAGTATTTTTTTTTGAATGTCCAAGTTTTTCTTCATTTTAGGATTTGTATACAAATACTCTTAGAAAACTTTACCATTATCATTTTTTGTGACAACCTTTTCTGTTTAGTTTTTTAATGTAATTATACATGTTTATTGCATGAATCCTTCAATCATATCCTTTAAGAGGACATTTTTTGGTGTATCTTGTATCATTTGTAATCTTCTATGATGCAATTTCTTCTTTGAACAATATATTTCTCAGGTCTCTTTTATATGCTATACCTTTTCAAAGTGTCACTCTCGCCCCCAAACTAGTCATCATAGGGAATGCCATGCAAAGCTTTCTTCTTGTTCTTGTTCTACTTATTTGCTTCTGTTCTATCATTAGATGCTTCTCGTTGGCCAACTACATGATTCCTTTATTCTCATTGTCTAAATTGTCGTCATTTGGGCAACTAGGCTTCTTGGTCAATCATTTAGTTCTCATCATTATTGCTTTTCCCTTATAACTTTATCATAACACTTATGCTTTCACTTTGCATTTGAACGTTCTACTTGCAACCAATGTTCCCTTCCTATAGACTTGTAACAATGGAAAGACGACAGGACTTGGAAAACTTATAACAAGCATATCCCTCTTCATGTGCATGCCATCAACTTATAACTATTGCATCAACAGTTCCATCGACAAACTCGCTTCTCCCTTGCATCTTTTGTCCATTTACATTAATTTATTAAGTTTTTTAATATCATATTGTATAGATGTTTCCTCACTCTCAATATGGAGTTGAACATCAATTTTTCTCTGATTTACTGTGCTCAACGATCAAGGTATATTAAGAAGTTGCACTATTGCTAATATAGGCATTATAATGATTATTCAGTTTCTTAGCAACCAATAAAATGTCACTTTGCAATAGTCATAGTTCAAATGGAATGAAAATTACTCGTTGTCTATAACTACAAACCTGCAAACTTCCCACTCCCTATTAAGATTTAGTTTGCTCGAGCATGTGGCAAGAAATGATTTTGCAATCATCAATCTCATTTGCGCATGTTATTCAAAGATTTGCAAACCTTAAAGGTATTGATAAATAAGGTGAAATCATAGAAAAATAGATGATTGTGTAAGCTCTTAGGTCCAAATCTATGTTGCACGGATACGGAAACGATAAGACACGTACACCGGACATGTATGTTATTGAAAATATAGGGCACGAACGCATGTCGAGCACACAACTATAATAAAA